AGCTGGACAAAACATCTGAGCTGCTGAACAGAGTTAGGTCATGCAAGCAAAGCGAGAGATACGCAAATGTTAACTACTTGAAGTTGGAAAACTTTTAACTTCTAATAGGAACTGGAGTCTGACTTAAACCTGCAGGAGTAACACCATTCTTCTTTTCCTCATTATCTAGTAAAAGTGGGGAATGTACGTATGCCTAGGGGTTGGAGCAGTGCGTTTGTGCTCTGAGAAGGTTGCAAGTACCCGGTTCGATCCCCACAGCCTGCACTGTACCTGAGCAAGACCCTTCACCCCACACTGCTCCCCAAGGGAATGGGTGAAATGCAGAGGTAAGTTTCTACAGTGTGAGATCAAGTATCATCATAAATTATTTAGATAACTTGGGAATAAAGTAATCTCTTAAACTTAATTTACTGAGGAAAAAAAGGATGATAAAAAATGTAAGTACATTTGAATATGTGTGTCCTGGAATTTTTTTCCTGTCACTTTAAGTTCAGTTCAGGGATAAGTACTTATAGGAAGGAAGCCCAAAAGAGATTGCAGAGTAGGAAAGTCCCTGTAATTGTTATTCACAGTTGGCCTGGCTGCAGTGGCAAAAATAAGAGAGGAAAGTAAATGAGTTACCTGATAGTAACATTTGGTCTTGGAGCAGCCAAGGCAAAAATGAGAAAAAAAGATGACTTATAAAATGTCTTGCCTTGAGTGAATAATTAACAGTATTCATTATTTTTGTTAGGGACATTATGTTTGGCACAAATATGACTAGATTTCTTAAGAACATAGAATTGATTCTGAAAAATCTCAGCTGAAGAAAAAAAAAAGATTCACTTTTGCCAAACAGCATCAACCCAAGTGGAAGATAAAGATCCATATGGGTTTTTGATTGTGAAGCAAAATACAATTGTTCAACTTTTTAAGATGTTCACTTGTGCAGTGTTGTTTTCAACATTATGTATACAAACCTTCATTTAATAGTAAAATTATTAACCTAATTTTAAAGAAAAAACATAATTTAATTTAATATGTTAGAAATAGATAATACCATCTAGTATTCATAGCTGTAAAATGAATTTATTTGAAGTATTAAATTTCATACAAATTAATTAAGATCTCTACACCCGGATCCATCACAGGATGTAGTAATATCCCACAGCAAGTTCTTTGAGGTGTAACAGATGTATGCAAAAATACGGAAATAATACAAAGACAGCTAAAACAACTGTTCGGGTCTGTGCAGGATGGAGACATGTCATACTCCAGTGTCAATCTGATCTGAGATATTGATCAGTATAATTTGATGATGCCCTGCCCTTGAACTTGAATGCTAAAATTTCAAAGGTCTTGCCCCTTTGAGTCAGTGCAACATTAGCTGATCCCCACAGGGAACCATGAGGTATACATCTGGATGCCTTCTCCAGGTCAGTAAAGTGTTGGCAAACTCCAGTGAACCCTCAAGTATTCAGCGGACGGGTGTAGAGCTGGTCCAGTATTCCAGGGCCAGGAGAAAAACCACATCACTCCTCCTTAAGTTGAGTATGGACAATTAACTTGACTCTTCTCTTTAGCAACTCCCTTGGAGGTTGAAAAGTGAGATCCCTACTCTGTGCCAATGCCATTCTTGTGGAGCAAGAACAGCACCCCAATCTGGCAGTCTAGGGGCATTCTCTATAATGTTGATAAGACATGTCAACCACCCTTGATTGATCATAGCCCAACAACATTAAAAGACCTGAGGTACTCAATAGACCTCTGTTATCTGCTTCTAAGGAAGACAAAAGTATTCCTTCCACCATCCAAATATGTCCTCATTCAAGCTCAGGAAATCTCAGTTCCCACTGTAAGCTTTAGCCTCTGCAACTGCACAGATGTACTGCCTCACAGTGCCCATTTGCTGCCTCAGGAGCCCATCATCCAACTAGGCTTGATGGGATGCTTTCTTCATCTTGAAGGCATTCCTTACTGTAGTTGTCCATCACTGGGTTGCTACCACAACAGGCCCCGCAGATCTTAAGGCCATAGCTACGGGCAGCTGCATTGATGATAGATGTAGAGAATATAGCAGACATGGACTCTATGTCCCTAACCTCCCCTGAAATCTGAGGGAGGCTCTCCCAGAGTTAAACACAACCTTACAGAGGGCTCTGCTGTACAGTCCCAGTAGACCAGGCATGCCCAAAGTCCTGCAGTTTTTAGAGGTTTCCCTGCTCCAGCACAGCTGATTTTTATTGATGAACAGGCTTTTGCTGAAATGCACTCATCAGAATCAACTGTGCTAAAGCAGAGAAATCTCTAAAACCTGCAGGACTGCCACCCTCGAGGACCAACTTTGGGCATGCCTGCAGTAGAATTGCTGGAGCCTGCCAAATTCTACTGGTTCCTCCTCTTCTAACGTCTACAACTAATCCCAAGGTGGTGAAATGTGAACTGCTCGACTCGTCTCTTCAGAGTTTCAAAGATATGTGACTAAAGGTCAGAAGATTTGACGACAATGCCAATCATCGAGTTCCAGCCTAGGGTATTCTGGTGCAAATTGCACTGAAAAAAAAACCCTTATGTTTGATCATGGTGTAAAAAAACTGGCAATCCATGACTTGCAAAAAAGTCACATAAAGGACAACTCTGGTTCAGAGTGAGGTAAGGGGTTCATTCCTCCTGATCACACCCTTAAGGTATTATTATGGTATCCTAAATGGGTGCTGAAGTATCCCAGTCCAGCACCCACACTTAGTACGGTAAGAAGGTCTAGTACTCTGTACCCCTTTTCAGCCTTTAGGCCAAGACAAAATTCAAAGGAACCTCCTCTACATCTTATCCAACAAGGTGAACTCCAAGAGGAGACTTCTGAGTTGGTCTCATTTAACGTCTCAGAAGTTATTTATTTTCTGCCAAATATTCCTAGCATTGATCTCTCATGGTTCTCCCCAGGTAACGGACACAATAGTGGATGGTCTTGTCTTTCTTATTTGGAATTGGCCCTGCTGGATCCCAAAAGATTAACTTTACCACTAGGCACTGACTGATTACCTCAATCCTAGGCCTGGCTCCATGGTAAGCAAGAGCTCTGCCACACCAGGTGATATCACTGGCCTCGATTCCTTAAGACCCTTTGCCTTGAAAGATCCTACATCCACAGAGGCATTTAAGCACCTGACAAAATAGCCTCTGTGATCATAGATGCACTGAAACCCCCTTACCACATTAAGTTGGCAGTTCAAGGAGTGGATATTTTCCTGAAAATCTGAAAAGGTTTATAAAACAGGCACACACTGAACACAGTGCAGCTGCTGTACATCATTAAAACCACACATCATACCCTCACATCAGCGGCGGTGTGGTGCTCAACACAGATCAACAAATTATTCTGGCAAGAAGGAAGTTTGGCACGACGGCGAATCAAGTTACTGGATTTCACACGCCAAACATGCTGGAGCTACTGTCACAAAATGTTTTAAATAGACATTTTTGACCGTTTTAAAAGCTGCAGAGTGCTACGGACGGATGTCAGCAAAACAAAATTGGAAGATAACGGACGGAGGAAGAGATATGCGAGACGGAGAAAGTGAGGGTCCAGAGGGGGGCTAACTGCGAAGCTAAAGAGAGATCCCCATAGACCACTGCGTCCATCAATCCTGCTCTCCAACGTCCGCTCGTTAGATAACAAAACGGATAACTCGAACTCTCTTCAAAGAAGGAGATTAGTAATTGCTGCGCCATCATTCTGCCGGGGTCTTGGCTGCATCCAGCAGTAGCGGACGGTGCTGTTGGCCTGGGGAGGCTGATGCTGTACAGCACCGATAGAACCAAAGAGCTCTGCATGAATGGAGGGCCCTCTGAGACTGTTCCCAGGCAATCTTTGGCATCTAGAGGGGAAGCACAGCCCTATTCAGGTGAAAATGAGGAGGGCACTCTAGATGCTTCCCTGCCAAATGTTGAAACATCCTCAGCCGGCTCCTCCCGGCCCCATCTGGCTTCCACACCTTCTACAGCATCGCCTGTCGCTGCTAAACCTGCCGATGGCACCACTGCTGCTTCAACCACATCAGCCTCTTCAACCCAGGGGGCTACCACCCTCACAGCATCGTCATCATCATCCTCTTCCTCCCCTGAGCCAGGAGAAGCGAGTGCTTCAGTAGCTGGAGGCAGTAGTAGCAGCTCAACAACAATTGCTGCTTACCTTATCAAGGCTGCACCTTAAAAAATAAAATTGTCTAGCGAGCTGTTCTAAATGAAATTTCTTTTTGTTTACACTTGTGTATACAAAATGACTAAATAAATCTGTCTAAGTCTAAACAGGAAAAAGTCCAGGGGAATTTCAGAATAAAATCAACCCACCAGCCTGCACAAATTCGTATAGTAAAAACAAAACGGCAAGATGGAAGAAAGTGATATTTAGATGCACTAATAATGAGTTTTGACCGAGTACTTCTAGAAACTTCTAGAAAGATTGGTAACCTACATAGACTTTTTTTCTTTTGAACACCATTTCTGCAGCCGGAGCCAAAGTGGGGTACCAGACACAGCAGCTGCACCATATTCAGTAGGAGCCTTGGGTACGGTTTTGCTTGCACTTTAACTTTGAATGTGGTTTTGGACTAAAAACCACACTTGTATATTTGTAGAGCTATGTTTCTGAACAGCTTTCAGAGTAAGATGTTGATATGGCTGATAAACTTCACCACAGCCTGGCAGCAGCACAGGTAGAGGTAGTCTCTGACCTCATTTATGTGAAATCCCTCTGTTTTCAAACCAAAGCCATTAGTTGAAGTTCAATTTACTACAAATGGTATTAACATTGTTTTGTTATCGGTACACATATCAAAGAGAATTTGTCTGTGCACCCTTTTCTTTAATACAATAAATGATTCCTCAGAAATGTATCAGAATAAAGTGGACTTTATTTCAAAAAAACAAGTGTTCCCAATAAGACATTATTGACATATTGCACAACAAAACCAACAGCTGAATACTGACAGAAATCACAGAAGATAAGACATTTCTTCTCGTTTTTTTTCTCCTTTTTTTTTCCTAAAAAAAGGACAGATTTGTGGATGGAGTGCTGGAAATGCCACTAAAATGAACTCTTACTTAATCCTTTTCTGCTTCAACTTCCACTGCAGCCTCCTCTTTCTGGTCGCTGACGGCAGCTTCATTTTTCCCCACATTTTCCGCCTCCTCTGCATTGGAATGCGGCTTCTCTTCACTCTTCTTAGGCTCGGGAATAAGTATGACTTTTCCGATATTTTGACGATCGTGCATTCGCTTCATGGCTTCAGTGACCTGGGAATAAATAAAAAAAGCCAGCTTACTCCATTTACTTTGCAACGCTGAATGCTGACAAAAGACATATATACATGATAAAAAAAACTAAAAGAAAATGCATTTTTTGACACCCAGGTGACTGACCAACTCTAAATTTAAACCTTCATTTCCTTCTGGAAAAACTCCAACAATTACTCTCTTTTTTTTGCCCACAGTTAGTTCATAGTGATGTCTTTAGTTAGAAAGGGGGGTTTTAAACTGTTACTCTTTTGATATGTTTCTTAGTTTTTTCTAACAATTGTATTTTTCACAAAGCATAAAGTTCAACAAAAACATAATTGGAGTAAAAAAATATACATATAGATAATAAAAAAAAGTATTTTTAGGCATATTGTAAATACATTTGAAGTTTCACATAATACAAGGCTTTCTACATATTAAGTATTTATTGTTTTCCTGATTTTTAGATGATGTAAAGACATTAATAAAACATATAATATATCTTTATTGATTTTGAATGCAGCTGTGAAAAACTGAGGACTTAGACCTGGTGCACGACTTTCTATGTCCTAATCCTTAGCTATTCCAAAAAAGTTAAAAAACAATCCACTGGACTTTGATTCCAAGTTTGAAGACCTTTCGCTTCCCATCCAGGAAGCTTCTTCAATTCCAGTTTTGAGAAATAGCGTTGAGTTCGAGGCTTTATAGAGTGAACCGAAAACAAAGCCGTGTTTTGGCTAAAACATGCAAATTTAACCGGACGAACGGTTCCGCCACTTAAGAACAGTCGTTCATGGGTTCTTTGTTAGCCTGCAATACCAGATACCTGTCTATGTCTCTGAAAGGGGGTCGTTAGAGGGAATTGTTGGCTTGGCTTAACAGGCGAAGTGTTCTGTTCCCCTGTAAGGGGATGGGGGTTGTGATGATAGCGGGAAGGAATCAATTCTATCGCTGAATTGAAGGTTTTTTGAAAGCTGAAACCAGAGTCCACCCCCTGTTTAAGGTTGGTTTTCTTTCTTAACATAGATGGCTTCTCTCCTAAACTTGGAAGCAAAGGTCACTGGATTGTTTTAACCCTCTCCAGGCAGATGTTGCAGATTTGCAACAGCTAAATGCCACTTAGCTAATTACTCCATGTCCATATTTTAAGAGCTTTTGCTACTCAGAAGTACAACAGAAGGACTTAGTTGTGCATTTGCAACAGTTTCTCTCCAGCTCACCAGATAGCACTGCTGACTCACTTTCAACATGGAGTCCTTGGTGTCACTGAAACAGATTTTCTAAGCACCAATTTCATGTAAGTTTTACTATCAATTTCCATTATTTTGAAATCAATACTACATAAGATGAATTATGAATGTGTATAGATATGACACATGCCAACAAGTAGATTTTATCTCCTCTGGGTATTTCACCAGAGGCATCTCGATTTCAATGTTGTGGATTCGCAACGTGTGCCCAAACAGGTACCAGTGGATGCTACATGCTTTATCTACTAGTTGGCCTATATTTTAAGCAACAGTCTAACAAAAACGGCCTTCTCAAGAGGTTTTGAGATGTCGGTGGATAAAAAGTTTGACAAAAAATTGTCTCTAATTTTGTGAGAATATTTATTTTTTTTCTTCAAATTTTAACGTTCATATTAGATTCAGTCTTCAGTGTGAATTTACCACTCCGGGAAACTGCTGCAAATCTGCAACATCCCAGAATTCACTGCATGTGAAGGTCTCTCTCAAAAAAAAGTCTGAATTGTATATTACTGCCCCATATGATAATTTTCTCCAAATATCAGATTTTTTCCTGAAAATACAACTTAATTTAAGCCTTGGAGGGTTATCTTTTTTAGAATGACTATGACCTGGATGACTGAAAATCTTCACCAGCATAATCCTCAGCTAGTTCACTCCTCATTTTGCTTACTGGTACTACTTGGGTCGCTGTCCAGTCTTGCTTTAAATTTACATTTAGCTGGTTTCACAGAGCCTCTCATTCCAGGCAGAACTATGTAGGATTGGTGAGGTACTGCTGCAAAAAAGTATCCATAAATGTTGCTCGTACAAGGCTTTGTTTCTAAGTAAGTTTCTAAGTAATTCGATTTTTAGACTCATCCGTCTGATCACAACTCCTGTAGTCCTAATTTTTCTCTGCTTTCTCTATGGTCAACCTGACCTTTATGGGGTTGTTTTGTTTTTTTCCCCTGAAAGAGCAGAGAGGTTTCCTCCCATCGAAGTTTAACTTTTTAAGTCTCTGTCAGTTCGTGCAGACAAGAACTTTCATATTAACTGTAAAAGGAGCCTACTGGAAGGAGAGGATATTTTTTTCTTTTTGGAGACCTCTTTTTGCACCTTACAATCAAATCTTAGGGGACTTGCTTGGAGTACTTTGGAGTATTAGCAGTTGTTTTGAATGTTCTATACCTAGAAACTTTGATCCATTTATCCATTCTACATAGGAGAAAATTATTTTTAAGTACACTTCACACAAGGATTTAAAAGCCCTTTATTGCAGTTCTTTCTTCAGCTTATAGAATTTCTGTTCTTGCTAACGGGTGTTGAAAAATGTATTTTAAAAAAGTAAAAAGTTATAGTTACTAGTTACCCAAAAAACAGTAACATCAGTTGCATTTTAGTGAAGTTTTAGTTTAGTTTTATCCACCTTTCTTCAATGCTCTAACTGAGGGAAGGAGGTTGTTCCCCCAAATCTCGCAATACATGGCCCTGCTCATCCTCATCTTAATACAGCCCTGTCCCATGTGCAGAAAATCACCCCCAAAGCATGTTCTTACCACACCCTTGATTCACAGTAGGGATGATACTCATCATTTTTCTTCCTCCAAACATGATTATTGGAATTATGAACACAAAGGTCTATTTTGCTCTCATCTCACCACATGACTTTCTCCCATGACTCCTGTGGATCATCTAACTGGTCATTGATAAACTTAAGACCATGTCTGGACATGTGCTGGTTTAAACAGAGGGAACCTTCCATGCCACGCATGATTTCAAACCATGATGTCTTCGTGTGTTACCAACCGTAACCTTGGAAACGGTGGTCCCAGCTCTTTTCAGGTCATTGAGCAGCTCCTCCTGTGTAGGGATCATTAGCGGCTGGCTAGCTTAAGTGGTAAGCTAATGCCTGCTTGTGGTTAGGACATTGCGCTTGTAATCCTGAGATTCTGAATTCTAGTCCAACTCCCACAGACTGTCACTCTGCGTCCCTGAGCAAGACCCTTAAGCCCCAAACTGCTCCCCGGGCACCCAACGGTACTCTGCACTGCACTCTCTGCATTTCCCCCTAGGAGATGGGTTAAATGCAGAGCTAATGCCTAATTTCATTGCTCTGTACTTGTGACAATAAAAAACGCTGAAAAAAGAAAATTGAGACCCAATGTGGTGATATCTTGCAAGGAGCCCCAGTGCGAGGGAGATTGACACTCATGTTTAGCTTCTTCTATTTTCTAATGCCTGCCTTAACAGTGGACAAGCTGCTTAGCGATTTCCCCCATAGCCCTTTCCAGCCTTGTTGATGTGAACCATTTTGTATCTAGCGTCTTTGGACAGCTCTTTGGTCTTGGCCATGTTAGTAGTTGGATTCTTACTGATTGTATGAGGTGGACAGGTGTCTCTATGTAGCCAACAACCACAAACAGGTGCATCTAATTTATGGTAATAAATGGAGTGGAGGTGGACAGTAGAGGGTCAGAATTCTAGCAGATAGAGAAGTGTTCAATTGCTTATTTCAGCTGTATCATACACTTAAATAATAAAAAAAGAATCATATATTGTGATCTGTGGATTTTCTTTTTTCAGATAATGTCTCTCACAGTGGACATGCACCTATAATGACAAATTCAGACCCCTTCATGATTTCTAAGAGGGAGAACTTGCAAAAATAGCAAGGTGCTCAAATATTTATTTTCTCACTGTATATTAAATGTTTTTTTTTTTTTTTAGCACAAAATAAACAAACCAAACAAACATTTAGCCTTTGATTTCAGAAACACCGTCATTGACACAGTGGCTGTATTCTGTCCCCACACTCTATGTTCAGGAAATGTTGAACATCTGCCCTCCTCCAACAGGTATGCCTGTATCATATCTCCCAATGTCACCAATATGAGAAAAGTAATTAGTTAGTTGTTTGATGAAAAACGAACGCTGCTCTAATGTAAAACTGGTGACAATAGCGGTAATTATCTGGAATTTTTAATAACATTTAAGTGCTCCCATATGAATATTTCAAAGTACCAACCTCCTCAAAATGATAGCAGGAGTCAATGCGTGGCTTGATCTTCCCCTGCTGGTACAGCTCCAGCAGCTTAACCAGAGTTCTCTCAAAGAGCTCCTCATCTGTAATGTAGCCCAGGTGGAAGCCAGCGATGGCCTTGTTGGTTTGCATTAGTTTCAGGGTGTTGAGGGTGAGCTGGTTGTACCAGGTCTTTGCCATAGCCAGCAGGTTCTTCTTCTGGCCTGTCACACAGTTGGCAGTACCTGGATCCGAGGAAAAAGACAGTTATTTTTTTTAATCCTTGGCCCATTTTTGATGTTTTAAACGCAAAGCTTCATATTCTTAGCTAAATCATATTTTATTTGTTTCCTGGAGATTTAAGCTAAATCTCAAACACATGAAATGTTGGTAACTAATACTTTCTTTTTTAAATGTGGTGCCTTACCAAAGACTATAAGCATGCCTAGAGGTTTAAGCAAACCAAAGCCTTTTTGAGTGTCAGCACCACCAAGGGGGTCCAGGACGATATCCACACCTGCAGAGAAGGATAACCAATATAAAAGGTTGTCAAAGAGAACAAAACTTGCAAAAAATCGTAATGATAGAAACTGTTTGGAGCAAAATGGTTGTATTTTTTTACCCTTTGGGTTAATTTTTCGTATTTCAGTCACATAGTCTTTGGTTCGGTAGTCGATGGGGTGAGTAACACCGCCTTGGCTGATGGTCTCGTGTTTGGAAGCCGACGCTGTGCCAAAAATCGTCACATCCTGCACGGTCTGACACAGCTGGGTAGCAGCAATACCCACACCACCTACAGATGTGCATACACAGATGAGTCTGGTAACACAGGTCACATGTTTTGCTGTTGATAAAGCAGCTTTCCAACCTTCTTGAAACATTCAGCCCTGTGGTTGTGTGACAATTTTTCAGTTGTGGTTTCAAATAAACTCTGCTGATCAGACAGAATCTCTCATAAGGCTTTATTTGGATTCTCTAAAACCTGTTTGAATTAAAAGCTCTACAAAAACCTGCATGCAAACCATAAAGCTGGACTTTATTTTAAAGAAAAATGTCAAAATATTATTCTGCACATTTCTTTTTATAATTAAATATCACCTTCTATAAGACACATTTCTAAAAAGTTTAAAATTTGAAATGTTTAACTTAAGTGATCCTTCATCCCAAAGCACAAAGAGGAAATGCAACATTTAACTTGCCTTTAAATGCAACACTGCAAACTAAAAACTCTACAAGCATAAAAAAAAAATAGAAGAAAAAACCTGCAGTCAACAAAACAAATGCCAAAAAAAAAATGCTGCAGCCACAAACAAAATGCTGCATTTGTTTTTTTGTGCTTCCATGTTTTGGGGTTTATGCCACACCTTTTTTTCCACTTGTTTTGTTGTTTACTGCATGTTTGCCGGCCGGCATATAAAATACTGCAATACCGACAGTAACCTGGAGAAGTATTCACCTCACGCATATTGTCATGAACAGACAAAAACATTGCGATTTGGTTGAGATTTTATGATAAACCAAGAAAAAAAATGTGTAAAGTGACAGAAAAAGGTTATGAGTACTAAAAAATAAAACTCAGAAAAGTCTATCATGCAGTTAAATGTGGTAATTCATAGAAATATATTTTATAGTGAGGGCATTGGCACCTATTTTGGGGATGTCTACCAGCTTTGGGTAACTAGGAAAATAATTCTGCACATTTGGCTTTGCAGGACAGTTCAAGCACAGTCAGGATGAACAGTGAGCATCTGCAAACAAATTCTCAATGTAACTTAGGTTTGGACTTTGAATTGGATATTCTAATACAATACTGTGACTTGATAAACCATTTCTCTGTAACCTCACTCTTCTTCTAGGATTACACTTTGTTTATCTCCAGCCGTGCCAATGAATCTGCCGTTTCTAGCCTTCATGATGCTGTCTGTTCGCCAACTCTACAATGGAACCATGATGTCTTCGTAGAGCAGCTGATTTTACAGTAATTAGTTGAGTAAAAGCAGTCGGTTGAAGTGAAGTGAAGTATCAGACTGATGGGGGCTGAATACTTATGCACAGCAAATGATTTATTTATTTCAATTTATTTTGAAATAATCAGACATTTTTCTTCAGCTTCATAATTATTTTTTTCCCTGTGTTGGAGCTTTAATTAAAACTAACAGAAGCCCTATGAAGTCGATGGGTTTAAATCCTTTGGCAAACAACTGTGAATAAGAATGAAAACAGGGACTAAGCTAATCGATATTAAAGCATCAGCTTTATAAGGAGTCTGAATGTTTTTATTTCTCCATCTGCTAAAACCTTGGATGAGGGGATAAACTGAATCGGAGATAGATGTGTTTCTATGGGATCGCTGCCCTCAAAAGGTCATCTGGGTGTGCAACTTATCTGCTAACCCCAGTGGCCTTTTCCATCAGCCTGGCCTTTCGCAGAGGAATAATACAGGTCAACCCTGTAGTTGCCTAGCACTGGAAACTGGCCTTCAAGAGCGAGGATGCTGAAGGTCGGGTGACTGCGTTCATAAAGCAGAGAGGCTGGTAAAACTGCATGTATAATGTCTCTCTTGGTCTAAGATAAATACTACGGCAATGGTCTGTTGAATTTCACAGACAATTAAGTCCTAAAATATTACATGCATAAATAATTGAATTCAAAGCGTAATTGCAGTAAGATAACCAACTTATAAAGTAATTATTCTATATCCTATATTCCTTTTCCTCTCATACAACACCCCTCAAACTAATTCCCACTTGTAAAATGTTTGATTTCCAAACAATCCTTTGTTAAAATTCATAAATAAATAAAAAAGTGATTGCTGGATTAAGCGGTTTACATGCAGCTATAACATTTTCCAATATTTAGCACCTAAACAAGTGGAAAATCCCATTAGTTTGGTGAATTTAAACAGGCTTTAATAAATATCAAGGATCCCAATTTATGAAGTAAACCAATGCTAGAATCCATTGAGATTTGTGACTGATTATTTAGGAGCAACAGCTGCTGACAGGCCTAACAATAAACACCACATACCCACCCTGGGTCGATTGTATTAGCCAAGTTCTAATTTCACCGCAACCTCTTTTCATTTTCATACCATTAAATAAACCATTTTGTACCCGTCTACTTAATGGTCACACACAATGGAATTATTTTTGCAGTTTACATTATTATTTTTATACTCACACAATTTAACTCTGCTTATTTAGACCTTTGAGGATCAGGCCCACTCTGCATCTGCTCGTTTTAAAGGCCACCTGTTGCCGTAGCAACAGGTCTGATAAAGATCTGCCCTTGTATGAATACGATGGTTGAGTGATCGTAGCAATAACACACACACTACATCCTGGGCTCTGACCCGGGGTCTTCGGGCAGATGGCTTTGCACAGTAATGCAGCTGAATAAAACAAAGTAATGAGAAACCTGAGTGTGTTTGGTGACTTCATTTCATGCTGGATGGAAAGCATAAAGGATGTAACGGATCAAATTAGAGAGATTATATATATTCTTTTATAAAAATATATTCTTCTACTTTCATAAATATGAAAAAAAAAACAAAAACAAACAAACATTGGACTTAAAGTCTTTCCTTTATATTTTTTTTTTTAACATAAAACCAGGTCTGGATGATTTGTTACCCAGTTCTTTGGATATCCAACATAAGTGAAAAAAATGTTTGGGTGTTGGATCATAGATTTTGGAGAATGAACTAGCCCTGCCTGTCAAATGCTGCATCGTATACATGCTGCTGCGAATGCATCCTTATTGGTTCATTTATCTGTGCTAAATGCCAGGCCATGATTCAGTGATGCAGATTTGTTTTTACCTTTAATGTCATATTTGATTGATAAATTACTTCATTAAAAGGTATAGTAGAGGATGTTCTTTTCTTTGGTGGATCATCAAAAGATGATCGGTGGTCATCCTAACTGTCAATCATTCTGGTGATATGTTTAATTAAGGCTGTCCTTCGTGCTCATCCCCATTTTCACTTACTGGTGGTGAGTCTGACATATTGGAAAAATTGCAAATCTTCTTTTGGAAAGTAAGCTAGTAGGAGCAATGCAAACAGCAAATTTTAAACAGAGTGTGCACGAGGAGAAATGGGCTTGTGCACGCTCTCGCACACGTTTAAAAGGCCAACTACAGTGCAGTACTGTAGTTGACAGGTACAAGGTTGTACATGTGCATTCTAAGTGGAGGGGGCGGGTCTTTTCAAAAATTTGCGAAAATCCTTCACTATACCATTAAGATTTAAGAAATAAAAACATTTAACAGTAATAACATAGTTGCGTGAATATCATCTTTTTTTTAACGGTTATTAAGTCAACTGTACATTATGATTTTTAATCTATATGGTTTTAGTACCTCGCTAGTCTGTTATAAAGCTACAACTTTCTGTCAATGCAAAGAAAAAAAAGTCAATTCTTTCTTTAGCTTTTTATCTGACATCAAACAGGTTTTCATGTCAAAACTAACTGTCCATTCTGCCTTTCTATAACAAATATGCACAAAACTATGACAATATTATAAGTACAAAAAAGCAAATTCCTACAGTTGCGGTATTAACATTTAATAAGAAATAGAATTAAAATAGAAGGTGAATACGTTTTTTCACAAGATAACTCTTAAAAACAACATGGCAGAGGCGGATAAAAACACGTGAGATATATCTAATATATACTGTATATATAAATTTTCAGTCTCCTCATGAATCCAAATATGCTGCCCCATCTTCCTCCAACTACTTCCCATCCTCTTCTTCGTCTTTTTACAGCCAGTAAGGTCAAGCAACAGATCATGTCAAAAAATTGCAGTTCTGTGAAATTTAAGAATTTTAGATAACTGAAAACCACCATGCTGAAGTGCAAAAAGCTTTTTTTTTTTTTTTTTTTTATAAAAAATCTTTTCAAAATTGCAGTGCATGAAAATGTTAACATTTTCATACTTTCAATTAAACTACTTATTTTCTGCAGCTTTTTGACCATCTTATATATATATATATATATATATATATATATATATATATATATATATATATATATATACACATACATACATATATACATACACATACATACACATATATATACATTGTATATATAACCAAAAATCATGCAACAGAAAAATACTGATCTGCAGATTAGTATAAAAATCCCTAGTGTGGAGGAAAACCCTGTAAACCTTCAAAATTAATTTATTTCAAGCACATGAAAAAGTCTAATATTGCAAAGAAAAAAAAGGTTTCTTACCAGCAGCCATGTGAATCAAAACGCTTTTGCCTGGCCTGAGATTGGCCATCTCAAAGAGCATCATGTAGGCTGTCATGTAGTTGATAGGGAGAGCAGCCGCTTCCTCAAAGCTCATCGCCTCTGGAATGGGGAAGGTGCGGTTGGCGGGCACCACCGCTACTTCCTGCCACATGCCGTGGCGCTTCATGGCGATGACACGATCTCCGACCTGGACAGCAGGAGACAGGAAAAAAGTAACTTAATCTGTGGCTGTCAAATTCAACTTATCTTAATAGGAACTTATGTCTGAAAGTTTTTTTAATACCTTCCTTTAACATAAAAGAATTAAAGGCTCTTTCTATTTCAAAACATTTAATAATACCTTTCTGATAAAAAGGCCTAATTCCAACTATTGCTAAGTTTCAACAATAAATCTATATGAAAATACATCTGCTCCTAACAGACTTTAACTTTTATAACTCTGTAATGCTTTAGTGTTTCAGACCTGACACACTTTTTTAACCATCCTGTATGATGTCATTAAATAATCACAAATGATTGCTTTTATTCAGAGACTAAATGGACATGCAACAACTTACTTAAAACACATTTGAGAGTCTGAACAGGATGTCTAGGGGAGAATCGACCTCAACCTCATTTTCGAATTTAATGCAACCATTTTAGGTTTTCTGCAGTACAACAAAGTGAACTCTTAAATGTGCATCAGATCAATGTTCTGCAGAACAACCCAAGTGTTCTGGAGTCTAAGGTCACAGGATTTTGTGCTTGAAAGCAGAATTCATGTTTCCATCAATCATGGTGAGTTATCCAAGTCCAGCAAAGCAGCACCTGGACATCATAAAACCAACACGCCCGACTGGAGGCAAGGCGCTCCATTTTCTAAACAGTTCTCATTAGAATGTGTTTTTAAAGCTCAAATATGGATTTATAATGTTCTATTGTAGTATTTGTTATTTTAATAACTTAAGTTACAATAAAAAAAAAAAAAGAGTAATTTTTATCCAATCTATTTTAGGCAAATGTGTGGCTTTGACTAAGCTTGCGCTGCAAGCTGGATTGTTGCAAGATCTGAGTTCAGTCTCACAACAAATCCATCTAGAAAGACTCCCGCTAATAAGACCGTCTCCTAACAACCAGCGAGTCGGACCAATGACATGCCAGCAGTGTTTGAGGCGGGACATGTAGGAATCACGGCAGTCAGAAGGGCCCACTTTTCAATACCGCTATTGACTCGGTTTTAGCTAAAATAGCAACAATTTCTCGTTTTAGAAAAGGAGCAAAGAAGCACTTTGTGCATTTTTAGATGAGAAATATGTCTGTGCTTATCTTCTGACAGGATTCGAAAAAGTTTGATTTTTTTCAGCTTACTCTGCTAATTGTGAAAACACTCAACGTCATGATTCCTGCTACGATTGGCTGAAAGTGTATTACATAAGGCGCCTACTAGCTGGTACATCACCCAATCAGCTTTGAGTGTTTTACTAAACATCCCTCCTTTTCACGGACAGATTGAACGGCAGCCATACCAGATTAATAACGTAGAACTCAACTCAGTTCTACACATATTAATCTGGCGACTGCCAGGTTATGCTGTGACTGCATTTTACAGCAATCATAACCCAATAGCTCTCTCAGTACTATTTAAAAAATACTAATTTTTACATACTTATCATCAGGAACATAAAAAATTGATATTTATGAATAAATTGCACTCAGAAAATGAATTTTATCATATCTTTGGATTCTATTGATATTTGTTGATGCTATGGAATAGACAGTATAAAGAAGAGCTATAGTTTTCTTTAAAAACTGGGCCTTGATTTCTTTGCATTAAATTTAATTTTGTACATTTAGTTATAAAATTTCTGAATTTAGAGAAAACTGATAACTGCACTTTTGCAAAGTGTTTAAACACAATAAAAAGGAAGTCAACTTTGTGCAGCATAGTTAAGAAAAAAGGCCAAAACAGCAAAGGACACAGGAAAAATGTGATCTGATCATGAATGCTGCTCTGCTTCCTCTTCGACAGTTTTAGCAGCTCAATGACACACCCACTTCCTGCAGAGCACAACTCATGACATTATACAGGCCTAAACACATCGTGCAAGTGTTGTGAATCAACCCGATCCGATCTCTTCTCAGTAATCACACATTCTTTTGACTTTCACCTCAGAGGACAGCCCTGGTTTTGACCCGATATTGAATCTATACATATGCATACTTCAGCCTTGCGGGGTGATCCCCAAACCAAATGGGTGTCACTTTAAGACCAGGCTTAGATCAGTTCCTGGAAGATTACACAAACTCAAGTTACTGGAGAGAATCTGGAAGCAGAAGAATAGTACCAGCTGTTTCCAGTTATGCAATAATCCCCACAACCAACTGGATAAAGGTTGATTTTAAAGCCTAAAATTATCATCCAACATTTAGAAGATCAATAAAGAACAGGATTTCAATATTTAACACTTAAAATAAACTTCTAACAGCCTTGTTCCTGCTGGTGTACCAGTCCGATTAATGATGCACATCACACATGTTGACATACATGGGTATGAAATCGAATTTAGCTGCATTTAGAAAATGTAATTAGAAATGCAACAGATATAATTTAATACAATTTCACCGAAATAATGGCTGCACAACCTCAGGAAACTATGTAACTAATACACTACTGCTTCATATTGCGATGGCAACACCAATTACTCCTTTTGTAATGTCATCACCATCCTTTATAGCATCTCAGCCACTGAGAATAAAGATCAAGCTTGGGTCTTGAAGGCAGTGAAAGGTTCCTCCAATAGGACATCTAGAATTAGTGTGCAGATTTAATGGCAGCTGTGTTTCAGTTATTTTCTGTAGCTTTTCTATATGAAATCTATAATGCAGACAGAATCGTTGAGAATGTTTTTTTGCCCCCAATTGCAATGAACCTGAATGCTGAACGACCATGTGTTGAAAGCTGAAAGAAGTAACAGATGGGAGTAAATTGGGGATTCACACTGGAAGAAGGGATGGATTGATCTGGAGCTAAAAAAAAAAATAAAAAAATTGAATGCATGACCTCAGCTTCAAAACTGGTGATTCCTTGGTGCTGAAAAACATTACATTATGGAGCCATTCGGAATTTGACACGGAATGGGACAAGAAAACCTTGAAATGGTGATAAAATGTTCTTTAGACACAATTATTTGCCTCCAATTAGCTCAGGAAAAAACTGAAAGGGACAAATACATTTTAAAGCAAATTTTGTTGTTGGCTGTTTAAATTACCACAAGAATGAGCAAATCCCACTAATTCTACGTCTAAAATAGGCTCAATTCCGGTGGCTGTTGTCAGTTCTTGATCGGCATTTAACTTCTAAATCTCAATGGGTGAAAGAAAAACAAACTAAAAATATAAGACAGCGAGCTCTTGTAATTGATTAGCAAATTAGATTTAGATAACATGTTAGCGCAATTTTATATTATTTAATGTTTCAAAATTAGCAAACAGACTTATAGATCCAAAACGTTTACTATGTGGGCTAAAGTTTAAGTTAAAAGATGTTGTTGCAAAAATGACTAATGAAGAATCTGGGCTCAACTCCTGCAGAGCTAAAATAAAGAGCTAATGAAGCCTCATTCAGTAGAAGCTCTTAAGGGCAGATTGTACTTCTGCAACCGCACACTTCAAATGTCGCTTTGGTTTGGTCGCGAACCAGTTTTGCTGGTATGCTTCTGCAACGTCGGTCTGGAATTTCTAGGGACGCACAGCAGTTTCCCACCAAAGAGCAAGGAGGAGCCTATTCGAGAACTTACGAGAACTTCGGAGGATTGTCACGAGAACTTTTTCGGCGGTGCTGGCGGGAGTGTTTATTTTTCAAAACACGTCTGAGGCATCGTACAAGTGACTATACTACTATCAACCTTTCTTCGTGGTTATCTATTGTTATTACTCCTAGGTTTTTAAAAATGGCGCGCCCCGCCACCGAATCGAGAAGGACGACCACACAGACATCCGGAAAGGCAAACCAAGGACCAATCACAGCTGCTTTTTGTCTGCGCACTTTCGCTTGAGATCTGCGCAGGTTTGCGACTTTCCGACGTGTAGACAGGATTTTGTTGAGCTGCGCAACGACGGTTACAGAGCCTCTGCGTGGGGAGTGTGGTCATGCACAGAGACATATTTGACGGTTGCAGACACTATATATCAGAAGTAAAAAAAATGCCTTTACTGCTGAGAACCTACAAGCTAACAGGAGCTAGCATTCTTCTTCCTCCCTACTCCAGAGGCTATATGTAGAGCGCCCTCTACAGGTTTGGTGGGAGACAGTTCAGTCAATATCAGCAGCTAATATCCCAGTGCGGTTTATAAATGTACGTTTCGAGTTTTTTTTTTTAAATTATGTGGGCGCGGCTTATAGCAAGGTGCAAGCTATAGTCCAGAAAATATGGTAATTTTCATCTTCAAAGTTTACTCCTTCTGCTCTTTCAGCTTTGCTATCGTATAAAGTGGCTAAACTCCTTTTCAAACAGTTATGTTAATACATAATACAATCCAGAACTGTGTGTTCTAATCATAGATTTTTTATGGAAACACCTGTAACAGAATAATCAACAATGGAGCACGAGCCTCAAAGATATCCCACATACCAAGTCTAGTATGTCTGGTTCCCAAGTGTCTTATGAAACAACCGCACCCTGCAGTCCTTATTGGCAGACACTGTCCTCCATGTCTTACTCCCTCTCCAAAAAACACTCTGGCATCCTTTTATGTTATTGTCTGCTGCTCTTTGCTTTCATACTGAGGGCCCACCCAAATTCTTATGTTAAATGTAACCAAACAGGGGGAGGCTGTCTCCATTTTGTTTCAAGTCTTCATATCTTCTGGCTGGATAAGTTTGTGTTTTAATCCAAACGCTTGCTTCCTGTGCTTCCTTTTGAGGTTTCTGTCCTAAAACACACACAACAGTGTTTATTGTAATCCTGCTCTGCGAAAGCGGAGAGGAAACATTGGAAGAGGAATGAGGGGAAGACTGTAGCATGAAGAGGAGGGGGAGGGAAATTCTTTCCTGTCAGGGAGGGATACTGAGCGGCTTTGGTATATTGCAGATAACAAGCATGTCAAAGATCTGACATAATCCATATTCTGTAAGTACAGGAAAAAAACGTTTCTTAAAGAAGCAGTGATCGCATATATTGGTTAAGAATCAGTTGAACTGTATGGATT